CTTCATCAGCTCCAGTTCGATGAGAGTTCAGTTCACTCTGGGAAGTGACCACAGGATCACCTATCCTGGAAACCTACGGCACAGTTACTACCTACCGTCTTCTACAATACTCAGCCTTACTCGTCAGCCATTTCAGTTCCTCACTTAAGTATTTGTTATCCTATATTGCCTCCCCGCGTCCACTTGCTTCAAAATTATTGTATGTTGTATAAATATATATATACTGTTAATGTTTAGGTTAAGTATGGTTAAGGGTAAATTATAGAAAGCTGAATATTTTGTTAAGGAATTTATGGTACTTTATTATACACAACAAAAACTCGCATCCCTTGTCTACCCTTTTATAGTCCGATTGTCTTTGTGTTTTTATTGTTGTTGCCTGTTGGGATCTGGGTAGACTTTTAACTATATTCTAAATCCCCAACTCGTAACAATTATAATGTATTTTTCTCATATATTTCTCCTGACACTGTTGACGTCTATGTGTGTGTGTGTGTGTGTGTGTGTGTGTGTGTGTGTGTGTGTGTGTTGACTGATGTTAATTTGTGTTTTTATGTTTTAATCTATTTAGACTGTCAGAGTTTATGTTTTATTAGGTATCTTCTTATTGATTATACATACATACATACATACATACATACATACATACATACATACATACATACATACACTCAAGTATTAGAGAGAGGTGGAACTTTAGACTCAAGAACCAGCAGCTGAATCACGGATCGATGTTTACAATTATATATTCTAAACTATAATATTAAAATGTTTAGTCTAGTAATAAATTATTAATGTGTTTAAATTATACGCTGACGTTGTTGACATTCCTTGCTGGTCTTTGACTTTTCTGTGATGTTTAGGTCTAATGTTGATGTCGATATTGGTGTGATGTTAAACCTGTGCCGCGATGTTTAGGTGTGTTGATGATGGTCTGACTCTCTGATGTTGATCCTGTACCTCGATGTTTAGGTGTGTTGATGATGGCCTGACTCTCTGATGTTGATCCTGTACCTCGATGTTTAGGTGTGTTGATGATGGTCTGACTCTCTGATGTTGATCCTGTACCTCGATGTTTAGGTGTGTTGATGATGGCCTGACTCTCTGATGTTGATCCTGTACCTCGATGTTTAGGTGTGTTGATGATGGTCTGACTCTCTGATGTTGATCCTGTACCTCGATGTTTAGGTGTGTTGATGTTGGTCTGACTCTCTGATGTTGACCTGTGCTTCTATGTTTAGGTTGGTCTGACTGATGTTGAACCTGTGCTTCTATGTTTAGCTCTGTTGATGTTGGTATGACTCTCTGATGTTGACCTGTGCTTCGATGTTTAGGTCTGCTGATGTTGAGTCTGTCACATACTTATATTGATTTCCTTGAACATTTACATCAATGTTTAGGTTCACTGAGTAATTTTCACCTCATACTAAACATTTCTTCACTGAGAGACGAACAAAAATAACTGTTATCTAAACATTAATTATCTTATGGTGATGTTATTTGAACTTTTATGAACTTATGCGATGATATATGAACTTGACTGAACGTAATGTACTTATTATCATGTTATATGAACACTAGTGAACTAATTACAAAGTTCAAGCGCATATCGGATGTTTACCCAGATTGAACATGGAGCGTGTGTTGTTAAAATGTAAATTGATGTTTTATGTTGGGTTAGGTTAGGTTAGGTTAGCAGTTGGATAGTTAGGTGAGGCTAGGTTAGCAGTAGGATAGTTAGGTTAGGTTAGGTTAGGTTAGGCTAGGTTAGGTTAGATTAGATTAGGTTAGGTTAGCATTAAGGTGGTTAATCTTTAGGTGATATAAGCTTAAGAGATTATTCAGGTTAATCACATCAGGTAAATACATAGCACATCTAGATTAAGATACGCACCTGGTCTAATAAACTTCAAAATACATCACAGTTCAGTGCAGTAATATTCAAGATAGAGAATGGTGTACCAAATGTTTACTTAATACAAATTAATACATCTCAGTATGAATGTTTTGTGTTAATATTGAGTTAGTGAGAAGTAAAGGCAGCTTGTGTGTTTGTATAATTGATTCACTGATGTTTGACTGGCTGTGTTTTATGTGAATGTTTAATGTGATTTAGTATATTCAGGTTGTGTTTAGTTTGACGTATTCGTTTTTTGTGTGTGTCGTGGCTTGTGGGCGGTGTGTGTGTGTGTGTGTGTGTCTGTGTGTGTGTGTGTCGTGGCTTGTGGGCGGTGTGTGTGTGTGTGTGTCTCTGTGTGTGTGTGTGTGTCGTGGCTGGGCTGTGTGTGTGTGTGTGTGTGTGTGCGTGGCTTGTGGGCGGTGTGTGTGTGTGTGTGTGTGTGTGTGTGTGTGTCGGCTTGTGGGCGGTGTGTGTGTGTGTGTGTGTGTGTCTCTGTGTGTGTGTGTGTCGTGGCTTGTGGGCGTGTGTGTGTGTGTGTGTGTGTGTGTGTGTGTGTGTGTGTGTGTGTCTGTGTGTGTGTGTGTCGTGGCTTGTGGGCGGTGTGTGTGTGTGTGTGTGTGTGTGTGTGTGTGTCGTGGCTTGTGGGCGGTGTGTGTGCGTGTGTGTGTGTCTCTGTATGTGTGTGTGTCGGCTTGTGGGCTGTGTGTGTGTGTGTGTGTCTCTGTGTGTGTGTGTGTCGTGGCTTGTGGGCTGTGTGTGTGTGTGTGTGTGTGTGTGTGTGTGTGTGTGTGTCGTGGCTTGTGGGCTGTGTGTGTGTGTGTGTGTGTGTGTCTCTGTGTGTGTGTGTGTCTTGGCTTGTGGGCTGTGTGTGTGTGTGTGTGTGTGTGTATCAAAACTTCAATCTCCTGCTAACTACCATCAACCACCGAATGTAATGAACTGCCCAAAATTCAGTTGTGTTTGGTACGTGTCCTAAACAACTGAAATTTTGTATAAATTCAGGGATTTTAAAATTGGTATGGCAGTGAATATTACACCTATAATACACACACACACACACACACACACACACACACACACACACACACACACACACACACACACACACACACACACAGAATCCCTCGTCTGACCCATTAAAATGTAAATATTTAGTAACGTTGAATCTAAACAAAAATCAGTGGCAGAGAGAGAGAGAGAGAGAGAGAGAGAGAGAGAGAGGTGGGGGTTGTACACTCACTTGCTAGTTTAATATTGACACGAATTTCTAATATGCAAATGTTTAATTTCTCTCAAAAATTTCTGTCTGTGGTCGTCTCATTTATCTCTAAATATGTGTATTTTGTTTTAATAGTGAAGGACCTATTAGTTAAAGGGAGGGAGGAAAGGAAGGGAGGGAGGGAGAGAGGAGAAGAGGGAGGGAAGGAAAGGACAGGAGAGGGAAAAGAAGGGAGTGAGGGAGAGGAGAGGAAGAGAGGGAAGAAGAGGGAGAGGGGAGAGAGGGAGCGAGGGAAAGAAGGGGAGGGGGAAGAGGAGGGAGAGGGGAGGGAGGGAGGGGGTGGAAGGAGAGAGCGAGGGGAGGGGAGAGAGGAGGGCTGGGAGAGGGGTGTACACTGGTCTGAATAAATTGTTGTAAATAAACATTAAATCAGTGCAAATAGATTCCTACTGGATTAGGTTAGATTAGGTCAGGTTAGGTTATGGTTAGGTTAGAGAGAGAGAGAGAGAGAGAGAGAGAGAGAGAGAGAGAGAGAGAGAGAGAGAGAGAGATGACTCCTTCAGTGTTGTCGTCAGAAGTGATCTAATGGATAAGGTTTTCATGATTCCGGAAAAATACTATGTGGCAGGGGAGTTCCACACGGTGTTAGTTCACGGTATAAATAACCTGATGGAATTTTTTTTCATGGTGTAGGAAAAGAAAATAATGTGTGGGAGGCCATTTCACACAGTGTTAGTCCAGGGTATACATAGCTGAGGTAGCCGGGGGTCCTGCTAGCTGGAATATCAACAGAGGAGGAATGGTCCCTTTTAGATGTTGACGTTGGTTGATGGTGTGTGGTGTGTGGGTGTGGTGTGTGGGTGTGTTGGTGGGTGTGGTGTGTGGGTGTGGTGTGTGGGTGTTCGTGGTGTTGGGGTGTGTGGGTGTAGTGTGGGTGTGTTGTTGTTTGTGGTGTGTGATTGCTTGTGTGTGTGTGTGTGTGTGTGTGTAGCTCGTCGGGGGCCAGCGAGTGTGACGGATCTATGAAAGTTTGACCCATAAAGCTGAGTTGTGTTGTATGTGGCCGAAGAATCACTAATGCGTTAAAACAAGAGAAATGAAACACGTATTGATCCCTGAGGAACCATGATAGTGATGGTAAATGATGGTAATAGTGATGAGGGTGATGAAAGTGATAATGGTGATAGTGATGGTGAATGAGAATTATGAATGGTAATAGTGATGATGCTAGTGGTGGTGATGATGCTGTTGATATTTGGTGATTGTGATGGTGGTGATAGTAGTGATGGTGATGATAGTGACAGTGATAGTAGTGATGGTGATGATAGTGATAGTGATAGTGATGATAGTGACAGTGATAATGTCGTTTAAAGACAGCTGAAACTTAAAACACAAACAAACAAACAAAAATCAAGCAAATCATTAATGTATATATTTTTTTTTTACACTTTACAACTTCTGTCTGAAATTCTACCCTAAACGAAACTTCATTCACAAACTATCAAGAACTCTATCCAGTCTTCTACCAGGTACTAGGTAATTTATTAACTACCAGGTACCACATAATTAAAGAACCCAAGTAGACGAAGTTTCTTGAAGTTTGATAATACAACTTAGAGCAAGAAGAAATATCAAACAGGATATTTTTTTGTAATGTCAGGAGTAAAATTTAATGCATACAGTTTGATCTGTCGTAAGTATTGGTTGATGGGAAGAGTAATTGACGATTAAAATGCAAAGTAAGATTGTTTAACCACAGGTGTGTTATTGTTGTTGGTCGCCGATGAAGTTGTGAAGTGACTTTTGGCGGGAGGGATTTTGTTGTTGTTGTTGGGTTATGAGTTAGCGAATTTGAGTTAGGTTAGGTTACGTTTGGCATACATCCGGCAGACTGGTCGTGGTGGCACACATCCGGCAGACTGGTCGTGGTGGCACACATCCGGCAGACTGGTCTGGTGGCACACATCCGGCAGACGGGTCCTGGTGGCACGCATCCGGCAGACGGGTCCTGGTGGCACGCATCCGGCAGACGGGTCCTGGTGGCGCACACCCGACAGACGGGTCGTGGTGGCATACATCCGGCAGACGGGTCGTGGTGGCATACATCCGGCAGACGGGTCGTGGTGGCATACATCCGGCAGACGGGTCGTGGTGGCACACATCCGGCAGACGGGTCCTGGTGGCACACATCCGGCAGGGGTCCCGGGCACACATCCGGCAGACGGGTCGTGGTGACACATCCGGCAGACGGGTCGTGGTGGCACACATCCGGCAGACGGGTCGTGGTGGCACATCTGGCAGACGGGTCGTGGTGGTCGTGGTGGCACACATCCGGCGGGTCGTGGTGGCACACGGCAGACGGCTCGTGGCACACATCCGGCAGACGGTCGTGGTGCACACATCCGGCAGACGGGTCGTGGTGGCACATCCGGCAACGGCTCGTGGTGGCACATATCCGAGACGGCTCGTGGTGGCACACATCCGGCAGACGGGTCGTGGTGGCACACATCCGGCAGACGGGTCGTGGTGGCACACATCCGGCAGACTGGTCGTGGTGGCACACATCCGGCAGACGGGTCCTGGTGGCACGCATCCGGCAGACGGGTCCTGGTGGCACACACCCGACAGACGGGTGGTGGCATACATCCGGCAGACGGGTCATGGTGGCACACATCCGGCAGACTGGTCGTGGTGGCACACATTCGGGACGGGTCCTGGTGGCACACATCCGGCAGACAGGTCCTGGTGGCACACAACCGGCAGACGGGTCGTGGTGGCACACATCCGGCAGACGGGTCTGGCACACATCCGCAGACGGGTCGTGGTGGCACACATCCGGCCGGGTCGTGGTGGCACATCCGGCAGACGGGTCGTGGTGGCACACATCCGGCAGACGGGTGGCAACACATCTGGCAGACGGTCGTGGTGTGGTCGTGCGGCAGACGGGCCGTGGTGGCACACATCCGGCAGACGCCGTGCACACATCCGGCAGACGGGCGTGTGGCACACATCTGGCGGACGGATTGGTGGCACATCTGGCAGACGGGTCGTGGTGGCACACATCTGGCAGACGTCGTGTAGAATGATTCATTATGATCATATTCCCAAGTGAACTGATTCACTGATCAGGCGAGAAACTCGTTAACATGTGTAAACACTAGGGGAGGGAGGGGAGGGAGGGAGGAGGAGGAGGAGGAGGAGAAGAAGAAGAGGAGGAGGAAGAGGAGGAGGGGTAGGAGGATGGGGGAGTTGGACAAGTAAGAAGAGGAGAAAGGGGGGAGGAGGAGGAGGAGGAGCAGTGTTGTAAGAGTAGGGCAATAGGAGGTGGGGAGGAGGTTATGGTCGAGATGCAGAATACACGCATCCTGGCATGTGTGGAGGGGAGGAGGAGAAATGGAGAACAAGGTAAGCTAGGTTAAGTAAGTATAAACACACACACACACACACACACTACTCCCACCCACCCCACCCACCCACACCCCACCCCACCCCACACCCCACCCCACCCACCCCACACACCCCACCCCACCCCCCCACCCCACCCCACCCCACCCCACCCCACCCCACCCCTCCCCACCCCTCAAGTAAACATATAAAAGTCATTGGAGGAAAGTGATTGTCTTAACCCAGCGAGAATTTAATTTACATAAGAAGCCACAGCCAGCCGGAGTACACACGCCTTCACTTGGCCCCAGAGAAAATGATTATATATTTTAGGCTGGGAGAGAGAAAGATTGGAGGAGAGGAAGATTAGGAAGGGAGGAAGGGCTAGGGAGGGAGGTAGATTAGGGAGGGAGGAAGATGAGTTCGGGAGGGAGGTAGATTAGGGAGGGAGGAAGATGAGTTAGGGAAGGAGGAAGATTAGGGAGGGAGGAAGATGAGTTAGGGAAGGAGGAAGATTAGGGAGGGAGGAAGATTAGGGAGGGAGGAAGATGAGTTAGGGAAGGAGGAAGATTAGGGAGGGAGGAAGATGAGTTAGGGAGGGAGGAAGATTATAGAGAAGGAATTTTAAGGAGGGAGGAAGATTAGGAGGAAGATTACAAAAGAGAAGGATAATAAGAGTGAGAAATAACAAAAGGGAAATATAACAAAAGAGAAAGACAAATAAAACTAACAAGAGAAAGAAAGATAACAAGAAAATGTATTATGAAAAATGCCGAGAGAGGCAGAATATTTTTGCTCCATGCTGAAGAGATACAGAGTGTTTCAAAAGTTATATACCTGTAAACTGTGTCTTCTTCTTCTTCTTCTTCTTCTTCTTCTTTTTCTTCTTCTTCTTTTTCTTCTTCTTCCACCTCCTCTTCCTCTTACTCTTCTTCCTCCTCTTCCTCCAGTAATAAGATAGACTCACTGGAGGTTAAGAGTCTAGTTCCCTTGAGGCCGAGTTGTAACACTTTGGATGACAGGTGTAAGAAGTCGTGGAGGAGGAGGAGGAGGAAGAAGAAGAAGAGGAGGAGGAAGGGAAAGAGGGTGAAGGGAAAGAAGGGGGGAGGAGTTAGGAAAAGAGGAGAAAAGGGAGGAAGAAGAAGAAGAGGAGGAAGAAGAAGAGAAAAAGGAGAAAGAGAGGAGGACTTTTGCAACACCCTGTACATCATTGTCTTAACAGATGCAGCGAGTTTGTTTGTCTTTACGAGGCCTTGATGGAACTCTGAGATTGAATGGTCTGAGGTTGAATGGTCTGAGGTTGAATGGTCTGAGATTGAATGGTCTGAGGTTGAATGATCTTTAGGGATGAATGGTCTGAGGTTGAATGGTCTGAGATTGAATGGTCTTTAGGGTGAATGGTCTGAGATTGAATGGTCTGAGGTTGAATAATTTGAGGTTGAACGGTCTTTAGGGTTGAATGGTCTGAGGTTGAATGGTCTGAGGTTGAATGGTCTGAGGTTGAATGGTCTGAGGTTGAATGGTCTTAGGTTGAATGATCTGAGATTGAATGGTCTGAGGTTGAATAATTTGAGGTTGAACGGTCTTTAGGGTTGAATGGTCTGAGGTTGAATGGTCTGAGGTTGAATGATCTGAGGTTGAATGGTGAGATTGAATGGTCTTAGGTTGAATGTCTGAGATTGAAGGTCTGAGGTTGAATGGTTGAGGTTGATTGGTCTAGGGTTGAATGGTCTGAGGTTGAATGGTCTGAGGTTGAAAGATCTGAGATTGAATGGTCTGAGGTTGAATGGTCTGAGGTTGAATGGTCTGAGATTGAATGGTCTGAGGTTGAATGATCTGAGATTGAATGGTCTGAGGTTGAATGGTCTGAGGTTGAAATGGTCTTTAGGGTTGAATGGTCTGAGGTTGAATGGTCTGAGATTGAATGGTCTGAGGTTGAATGATCTGAGATTGGAATGGTCTTAGGGTTGAATGGTCTGAGATTGAATGGTGTGGAGGTTGAATGATCTGAGATTGAATGGTCTTTAGGGTGAATGGTCTGAGATTGATGGTCTGAGGTTGAATGATCTGAGATTGAATGGTCTGAGGTTGAATGATCTGAGGTTGAATGGTCTGAGTTTGAATGGTCTAAGGTTGAATGGTCTTTGGAGGTTGATGGCCTCTGGAGGTTGAATGGTCCGAGGTTGAATGGTCTTTGAGGTTGATGGCCTCTGAGGTCGATTGGTCCGAGGTTGATGGCCTCTGGAGGTCGAATGGTCCGAGGTTGAATGGTCTTTGAGGTTGAATGGCCTTTGAAGTTGATGGCATCTGAGGTTGAATGGTCCGAGGTTGAATGGTCTTTGAGGTTGATGGCATCTGGAGGTTGATGGCCTCTGAGGTTGATGGCATCTGAGGTTGATGGTCTCTGAGGTTGAATGGTCTTTGAGGTTGAATGGCCTTTGAAGTTGATGGCATCTGAGGTTGAATGGTCCGAGGTTGAATGGTCTTTGAGGTTGATGGCATCTGAGGTTGATGGTCTCTGAGGTTGATGGTCTCTGAGGTTGATGGCCTCTGAGGTTGATGGCATCTGAGGTTGATGGCATCTGAGGTTGATGGCCCTGGAGGTTGATGGCCTCTGGAGGTTGATGGTCTTGGAGGTTGATGGCCTCTGGGGTTGATGGCCTCTGAGGTTGATGGCCTCTGAGGTTGATTTCTTGAGGTTGATGGCCTCTGAGGTTGATGGCCTCTGAGGTTGATGGCCTCTGAGGTTGATGGCCTCTGAGGTTGATGGCCTCTGAGGTTGATGGCCTCTGAGGTTGATGGCCTCTGCACGTTTGGTCTTAGTGAGGCCGGATACTTAATTAGGTTGTTTTGCTTTTTTTTAACAAAGCAATTTCTCGCTAATTGCTGTGGCTAGAGACTACACACACACACACACACACACACACACACACACACACACACACACACACACACACGAAACCGAATTTTACACAAACGCTCATAAACTCAACCTATACACTCATAGATACACACAAACACACATAAATCCTACATACATACACACACACACACACACACATTAAGCTTACATACACTCACTTCCACTCATTTCCTTTTCTCATCTCCATATCTCTTTCCCTCATCTCCATCTCTGTCCCCTCTCCTCCCATCATTCCTGCTCTCCCCTCTCCTCCCCTTATTCCCACTCTTCTCCCCTCTCCTCCCCTCATCTCTTTATAATACATTGCTCCATCGTTCCCTCACATCATGCAGGCGGTGCCCCTCTGTACAAGATTCCTCTGGTTGCTTTCTAAGTAAATTATCTCATCACTTTACAGTTATAAATCTACTTAATCGATATTGAATTAAACTTTTTTGTTTATATTAAAGTAGAACAGTGTAATGTGTGTATTTATGACGAGAGCGTGTAGTGTATCGTCCTACTCCCGAAAGTGAACTAAGCGATCTTTGTTTATTTTCTGTATATATATAGTAATAGGGTTGCCACACACCTC